AGCATCTATCGGGGGAAAAGAGTACGCAGCTGAAATGTGGCCATGATTGCCCATTGACTGGGAGCGTGACAGTTTACTAGAAGAAAGGGATTATTCCGGGTAAATGTCTGCGATTCTTGAAGCAGAAAGGACAAGATGTGAAGAGAGATAGCTCTCAGCCATACATTATAACAAACAGAAGCAGGTACATTTTGTTTAATGTTCTGTTGGAATACAGCCATAGGTCGGACAAGGTCTGCCTGGCTTACATCAATATCTCAGAGCTTGCCAAGAAACTTTCTGTAGTCAGGTAAATTGTTACACTGTGTTGCATTGATTCTTCCATGTATTTGTTCAGTAAATGGACCAAATGTGGTGCTTACAGACCGACTACAGAAGGGTGCACCTGCAGTTCTACTTCAATTTCTGAACTTTAGTTAAGCTACATGTGTGGGCTAACAGACACAATGAAGTTGATAGCTTTCTATGGAGCAAAATGATGATCCCTGTCCTTGGTTCTGAAAATGGTGGTGTCATTAAATGGTGCTCTCCACTGATGGAACTTCACCTGCCTGGCATGATATTAAATTATTCTATCAATAATTGACTTCTGCATATCGTAAAAAAACATGAAAATGCTAATTCTTGTGCTTAACACGACTACTAGAATTTCTGAATGCCCACTGTAGTCGTATCGCAAACAACTAAACTATACTGGGTTTGATACATGTAATAACAGATGTAACACTGATTCATATGAAATACAGAGAGATGCTTACTACAGAAAAACTCCAGTAAAACGGTATGCTGTCAAGTCTAAGATGAAATATTTGTGTCATGCTGAAAGGACGGCGTCAAAGCTCAAAACAGAAGCATAACCTTTGCAGCAGTAGACAGCCTTAATAACAAAAGCCACTCTCCGTACTGGAAAGGAATGAATGGCTATAAAGTCGTATGACTGAGCATTCATAAAATCATTTGTGGCATATGAGCCATCATAACAGAGTTGTAAAAGTACAAGAAACTGCCACAGAGGGGCAAAATATGATGTTAAAGTACAAAAGAGGTCCGTCAAGGTTTTTATGTGTCTGAGACCCCCACATTTATTCCCCTGGAATTGGTTAACCTCTTGCTCTCTAAGGACAGAGTATGGTACCAGCATCAAATAGGTTACCTATAAGGACACAGCTGAATGTTAAACAGCAAATTCTCTGTGCAGTTTAGGCTCAATGTATTCGTACACAGCTAAGGCTTCTAATATTGCCAAGAGCAAAATCGATCTTAACACCAGATAACATAATTCAAATGTAGAACTGCAAGGTATCGGAAGAATACACCAGTTGTCTTACTAAATGACAAATAACAAAAGCCTTGAATCAAAATAGTAGACTTCTTCAATGATTGCCTTTGGGATACAAATACACATTATGTATTAGAAATGTTGGTATCAAATGACTGCCAACTTGTATCAATCTTTAATGCATACTCTGCTTCAGCCGAAAACAACTGTTATTGGATGATTGTCTTGCCATGTCATGTAAAATAAACCATTCATTCATTCATTCATTCATTCATTCATTCATTCATTCATTCATTCATTCATTCATTCATTCATTCATTCATTCATTCATTCATTCATTCATTCATTCAACAGGCTTACAGCTATAGAAAAATGTTTTCTGATATTTAACATTATTGCCAAATTCTTGCTTTCTAATTTCTCTAGATCTGTTGATCATACATAAGAGTGTGAATGGTTTCATCCAGTTGGTAAATCAATGGATATTTGACTTCTTTTGGCAGAACCCAAAGTAGAATACCTGCCAACATTTCTGGAGTTACAGACCACATTACAAGACACAACTGTGTAATAAACTGGGAGGGGGCTAACTATATGATAGTAATATCTGGCAGAAGTAAAGACAACATTTTGTAAAATCGCATTTAGCAACAGCATTTTGATTCAAAGGTACCTATTAGTTGATGCATTTTTGCCTTGCTGATGTAGTTTCTAGAGTGACAATAGTGGAAAATGATGCCTCTATTGGACTGGTACAACTAACTACCAGTACATACTGGTGTCATGCTTCCTTCATGGATAACAAGAATATATTGCTTGCGCTGTGCGGCAATATATATTTCCAGAAACAGTATCTCTGCTACCCGCCTCCTTTTTGCAGTCTATGACAAGCTATGATTTGTTCTTCATCCTTGTTCCAGACAGACCCATATCAGTTCATGACAACCAAGAATGTAACTAATCCCACCTTTAAGGCATGTCTTGGGTAAACTCTTTAACTTGTTATTAGCAGCAGACGTGTATGTTGGAGACTCTTAAAAGCTTTCATGTTCGGAGATTATGTTGAGAGCTGGAGGACAGAATGGGTTTAGTTCCAGGCATTAGGGCCACACCAGTTTAATTTCTTGGTTCTTGGATTCTTTCATTGTTTGAATTATCATGTTGACTTTGTGGCTCTTACGGTAAAATTTGGGGCTATCAAAGAATGCCCACTCCTGTTTTTTCGCTCCCTTCATTGATTTCAAGCAAAAACAAATAAAAAAATCAAATTGGTGTGGCCTAACCAGGGGAAGGGGGTACAAATCTCTGATCAAAGCAAAACAGTGTCCAAAAACCCTATCCTGACGTAAGGGGTCCTTCTGCATTCATGCATCCACACTCTGTTTTATAGAGTGAATAATCTCTGCCCATATTTATTGCACAGTACAGTACAAGCACTCCAAAGTTACATTTTACATTCTAGCATATACTTAATCCCAAACATAATCTTCTGACTAAATCATGTGAAATGATAATAAAGGAGACACTATTTTAATGGCTGGTTAACTTAACTTGGTTACTACTGGAAGTTAGCATGACTGCTAGGATCAAATAATTCTTGTCGAAGCCATCCTGGTCTTGATCTGTCTAAACCTGAACAGATGCCATCAAATCTACACATTAAATCATTTAACTAATGGTGCATGTTGTGCATCTCCAGTTTCCTGGTATTAATGAAGATGTATTCATCACACAGGAGTTTGGAACTACTCATAAGTGGCGACGTGTTTTCGCAAGCGAGCCCGGAACATCTGGAGGCGAGCACGTACCAACTTCTCCATTTGCTCCAGGCCCATCTTTCATTTCTTGGTAATTTGTTTTCAACTAAGTGGTTAAAACCCCAAGCTGTTTGTACCAGGTATTCATCATCTGGGATTCTAGTTTCTCTGAAGGCTTTTACCTTACAGCTGTCTGAAGAATACTGAGTACTTAGATATTACAACTTAAGGCTTTGGTCTTTAGCACACTGAAGTAGCCATGTGGCTACCAATTCTCTATTGGCTATGGTTAGGCAATAGACAGAAACAAATACATGTAGCAATAAAGAAATACAAGATTTTAGGTCTCTACTAGGAACATAAAAATATCAATGAAAAATTGTAGCAATTATTTGTATTATTATTGAAATTAGGAAAGGTATATACTACAACTTAAGTATTACAGCTAAGACCACAATGACATTTTTGTCCCTTTCTAGAAAAAAACATTTGTGACCATACCGTTTCCTTAGGTACTTAAGGGATGACAGAGGTCAAATTTAAAGGAAAAGAAGAAGATGCCAGAGGAAGGGAAGTACAATGTACATGTAGGGCTCAAATTACCACTTGCTTGCACCACCAAGTTTTCCAAAGTCAAAGAAGATGTGAAATGAATAATTTGTTCTTCCGTATACAGTGCTCTGTGTGTTTAGTGATTTGTTAAACCTTCCAGTCATATAGATTCATCATGAAGGCAACTTCTTTTTTTGCCCAACTTTTTTTTGCATACTCACATCAGCTTTAGGGTTCTAAGAGGATGTCATTCACATAATCAAATTGGTACTGCCGAAATGAAAGGTAAAGGAGTAAAAGCTTTTAAGAATGCAGGGACAAGATTCTCGTACTGGGGATGAAAATGTCAAAACCACAACATGCCCATTTTCCAAGCAATTTACTCCTGGGTCCACGGCATTATGATCACCAGTAATCAATACCACTGACAAGAGTGGCATGAGAGTTATCCTAGACATGCAAATATGCTGCGGCCGTTTCATCATGACTTGAATACAGCCAACACAGTTTAATCAATATTCACATCTGCATGAAGGGAAAGAACCTAATTCACCCCAACAAAAGGAGGCACATCACCAACTCACTTAATCTCAATTAAACTTGGAATAACTAAAGGCACAATTTTTTTTAATGTTCTATCACAAGATAGAAGGTGTCATTTTGTATATCTAGCCTGGATTATAACACTTCATTTTCGACTTTCAAATTAATCACTATATTCATATGTTAATATTATAAAAGTATTGCTGATACATGTGCACAAATTGTTGGCCTGCAGATGTACACTGACTATTCAGACAGTTACACTAACAACAACAGTATATTCATACAGAAGACATAAAGCCAAACTGATGCAAAATGTCACATCCTTGATACAGACAAATTTCACAACACTTTCACAGCAGTAAATATGAGAGCAAATATAGGACAATTCAAATAAGAGTATCTGAGGACATTTTTCCAAAGATCTTTTTCAATTTCTCCACATTAGACTATACATTCATCAACACTCCATACAACAAGAAATGAAACTCTCTTTGTAAATCTCTTGGCAGGCAAAGAAAAAGAATGCCTCCATTTTCACAGACTGAGGTAACAATGCTACAAACAACAGTATGGAAGTATCACAGACAAGCTAACCTGAATCTTGTACTATGCAGCTTTAAGGTAAAAGTGTGACATAAAATATCTAGAGTTTTTGTAAATTTCTTGACATTCACACCAAAAACAATACCTTCCTTTTAACAGAGGTAACGATGCTACATGTACAAACACTGGTACGGAAGTATCACAGGCAAACTAAATGGAACCTTGTACTACCCTGGTATGACATGGTAGCTGGTAATGGACCATACCAGCAGAAACACATTCATAGATCATCAGTAAAGTAAAAAAAAAAGCGAGTGACTTACCCTCATTGTGGTAGCCTCTGGAAGACTGCCGCATGGTCTGAAACGGCAGGAGATGGACAAATAAGACATGGATCTGTTTCTCCTCCATAGGGAAATAATGTGTCATCTTGACTATGTGGAAGTGTAAAGATCCCGGACTGTTCACAGGGCAAGAATCTGTGTACTACTCCAGGCCTGCACCGGCATTTATACTTGCACTTCAGGAGGAGAGAGGCCGGTCTCTGATGCTAAGATCGACGTAATAAGTCCCGTGACAGAGACTAATGACCCGGGAATCAACAGTCGACCAACGGAAAACGGATTGGGCTCATGTAATGCAGTTAAAGGTGAGTTAGCAGGGACTGGTCTGCTGCCTGCTGGTAAATCCTGGATGGGGGCCATTATTTTTTTCGATGGCTGTAATGTTGGCTTGGCATTCGTTCCCCATGGCTGTGGACTGTTGAAAATTCATTTGGGGACTGAAGAAACGGGACAGCTGGTTTGTCACAGAACCTTTTAATATAATGGCTTGTGAGGATAACTCACAGATTAATGCACAGACTCCCTTCTGGATTACGAGTGGGGCTGGAAACACTGAGTGCATGTGCACCCAAAATTGGAGCTGTAATCCTAATTTTTGACTGTGGATCTGTGCACCTAGATATTTGTCTAAGGCTAAGTAACAGTTAAATAAAGGTGCTTTTGTACACTAGTTTACAGCATAATCTTGACATTTTATTGTCAGAAAAAAATAAAACCCTTGCTGTATCACTTGTTTGAGATTTAAGTTAGATACAGAATTGAATTTCAGATTCAAGCTGTGAAAAGAAGTAGTATTATGTTTATTAGCTTTTGCAGACATGCCTGTGAAGACTTCCTTTTTTGTTGTACATCCAAAATGTTTCCTCCGCAGTCTGAACCTAAATCTTTACAACCTAATTCCTAGAAATAAATTTCGAGCCCTGATTATGAGTCTACACCACTTGCCCAATCAGATTATGCACATGGTGTGAGCGTTGAGTTATAGGCTCGAACCTCACTGCCAATTTTCCAGGGCAGTAAATTATGAGCCCACAAATGTTCGAGCCAATTACGTTTTCTTGCAATGCCCCAATTTGCAGACATCAAGTGGTTGCTCAAAGCAGTCTAAGCATCAGCAGATTTTCAGAATTGGGCAAGGTATCACATTTTATTAAGTGGTTTTGTGCATATCATGGCATGAATAAGATTCTGGCTTTGTAGCATACCTGTAATATCAATTTTGATTACGGATAAACATGACCTTTGACATTGAGAGACAAAACAGAAGAAGATTATACCAAGTAACAAGCTTCATAGATTAAGGACAATCTTGAAATGTACAAACTGAAATACATCAATTGGAAAAGATGGAAACGGACTGAATACCATTGATTCTTGGTATATAGCATGTAATTGTAGACTTTGTCCTTGGCACTGATTTTTAAGGCTATGTTTCGACTACCAGTTTTCTGACAAGTACAAAGACGTAGATAAAAGTTCCTTTAGAACTCAGTGGAAGTCTTTCTAACATAACATCAATCAAATTTCCCTACATATATGTATGTTTGTAACAAGAAATCAAGGACTTTAGAATTTTCTTTTATTTATTATTGTAAATTTCTTTGATTTTGTCTATTTTTGAACACTTTCTTTCTGACTTCCAATGATCATTTGGTTGATAACTTCAACACGCAGAAGGCTAAGATTCACTCAACTCATTTCGATCAATCAAAATGCAATTTCCTGGACACTCATGATACTGAACATGTACAACTTACCACCACTTACTGCCATATATGCATGGCAGCACAAGTCCAATCTTCCATGCCCACACCGGTACTGAATACTGACAAATAATGGGCACACAGGGCAATATAATGATGCTTTTAGTTTAAGTTGGCGTCTGCTTTCTCTAAGGCATTTTCTAAGGCCAGAAAATGGTATCACCTTCTGAAATGTAACAAGGTTTCCATGTAGATCAGCATCTTTCATCTCATCTCCTACTCTCACTCTATACTTAAAGTGATTAGCTTCCATTAGAAGAGACACAGTAATGGCCTATCCCCCATGCTTGATGCATGTGTGTGTCCCTCACTTTGGCACCTTAAACCAATTAACAGTGAAAGCTGCCCCATTTTGGTGATAAGCAATGAATTATGTACACCACACATACATTTGTACACACAAAGATTTGGAAAGAGGAAATCCTTCATAAGGTAAAGATAAGACAAGCAACAAACAACCAGTAATACGAACCTCAGTCATGTATGACATTTTGATAGGATTCTACCTACACATATACTTATAATGAAATAATGACAATGCAGATGACAATGTGAAGGTAATTTTGAGGTCAAATACATTCTTTTTTTTATTTCACTATTCTCAATTTGCATTATTTGAGTTTTGGTATCATTGATTTTTTTGTACACACATGCTATATGATTTGTATGAGATGCCCTTCATTGTTAGAAAATGTTCAATTTGATTTAAAAAGAACAGCTCTCTATTTCTTGTAGTGTCATGACATGACGTCAACAATATAACATGACATAGTGTGAGGAAGGAATGGTATGAGGAAAAGGTGAGCAGTGAACATGATATCAAACCAGTTTATTAGCTAAGGAAACAGGTCATGACAGAAAAGACGATAAGAACAGTGTTTACAGCTGTACAGGCTCATTGTACCAGGGAAATTTTTCTAGCTCATTTTGAGAAGTACAATGGACAATGGACCACATCCCATGGTAAGGCCACACCAATTTGATTTGTTGGTTCTCAGATTTAAAAAAAAAAAATGAAGTGACAGGGTGAAAAAAAAAAGACTTAGGCATCCTATGATATCCCCAAATTGATAGGAGCAGTGAAGTCAACATACCAGGCTGGTTTGTAATTCAAACAATAGATTTCAACTTATAAAACCACTACATTGATAGATGGAAAATCTGTTTCATCTCTAAAGAGAAGAGACTTCCTTCAACTCCTGGGGCGCCAAAATATGAGCATTTTGGAGTTGATTCAGAAGCTGACTTTCTTGTTGAAATCATTAAAAAAATGAAGCAGGCGAATCTGTGAACCAACAAATTAAGATGGTGTGGCCTAAGGACTGTGACCCTTTCCAGTGCTGTGCATGTAGGGTGAGCAACAACAGCCGAGACTCAAACCCAGGAAGAAGCTGGATGTCTGACATGTCGTGAGTGAGGGTTGATCGAAGACGCCCAAGCAGCCATGAAATGTAGGTTACACTGGTGTGACAGATAACAGCACTCTGCTGAACTTGCTCAGCATGGCACAGCTTTTCCCATCTTGTTGGATGCATTGTGTAAAAGCCTACTCATTATTCATGAAATGTCAACATCATATGAATTGCAAATTAAGCTTGTACAATCTTGGTGACATTGGAGGACAAATTCAACTAATATCAAAATTGTCCAGGAAGACCACTCAGAGGACCAATGAAATCTGGTGGTCGCTATAGACAGGATTCATATATGCTTGTGTTAATGGGACAAAAAGACACAAGCATCAAGACACAAAAGTGGTCACATTGGCCAGGTGGTCCTTTTGTAGCGATGGTCACTTCTACCGGTTTGGCTGTATATCAATGGCCAGGTGGTCCTTATGCAGAGGTGGTCACTTGTACAGGTTTGACTGTGGTAGCTACTGTGTCACAGGTCCAGACCAGTGTTTTGGGACACAGGTTAAGTTGCATGTGACCCCAGACTGCCTGTCAGAAGTCCTCTCACAGTTCAAAGCTTAAAGTTCAAAACTGCTTACACAGTGCTGAGAACTACCACAGGCTTCATCCCAAAGTGTTGCACACCTACTCTGGCACTGATGTACAATTATAGCTCATTAAAAAAACATTGCATGATACCTATCGTAGGACAGGTCCTTTCTTCTGATGTAAATTGGGCCTAACACACACGCACACAGGGCTGGGATCAATACAAATCAATCCATTCAGGTAAGTAATTGTAACAATAAAGGGCGTCATATATCAGTACACTGTTTTTGGCCTCCAAAGTGCCCCTGCCAATACATTTGATGCAGGTGTAATTCTTCTTTTCCTAATACATGACCACATTTCTCAGGGTCCCTACAAATAACACCTAGGGCAGTTTTTATTAGACAGCGCACCAGCATACAGACTGCTACAAACAGCCTGGATTTATGAACTCTACATAAAAGGGACCAACTTCTCCCGACTGGAAAATATTGGAATGTAAGTAAGTCAGTAAAATATTGGTAGACTACTGCATTAGTGACAAAATGTGCTTGAATGTGTGTGGATGGTCAGCATGAAAGTTCATCTGAGTTGGTAAATTACATTATGAAAAACTTAAACTTTTCTCCAACTCAAAATTTGACTCACCAGAAATTTTCGACTGAATCACTCAGTCTTCCTCAGCTATCTGACCCAAATGCTGTGGACACGTGATTTTTCCCACGTGTGACGTCAGCAAAGGGTCAAAGGTTGTCTGAAGTCCCCTGTCCCTGTCGGGCCCCTGTCGGGAAACTTATATCGGGGAAACTGAGCGCTCACTAAAAACCAGGTTTCTAGAACATAGACGACCCAGTTCTGTTGCATCTGAGGTGTCACAGCACATCCATATAGAATCACCGGGACACACAGTGGATCTGGAGGGGGTCAGAATCTTGGATACCGAACAGGATTACTTCAAGAGAGGCATAAAAGAGGCCATATACATCAGGGCACTTCAACCATCGCTCAACCGGGACGGGGGGCGATATCGACTTCAGACAACCTTTGACCCTTTGCTGACGTCACACGTGGGAAAAATCACGTGTCCACAGCATTTGGGTCAGATAGCTGAGGAAGACTGAGTGATTCAGTCGAAAATTTCTGGTGAGTCAAATTTTGAGTTGGAGAAAAGTTTAAGTTTTTCATAGTGTGTGGATGGTGTTCAGTACTTGGGACAGGTTTGTGGGTGGGGGGTGGTGTTCAGTACCAGGGGCAGGTCTGTATCTGGGTGGATGGTGTTCAGTACCAAGGACAGGTCTGTATCTGGGTGG